TATAAACAGTCACAGTCAGATAAGAATGCGCGGGAAAAAGTCTCTCTCTCTCTCTCTATATATATATATATATATATATAGATAGATAGATAGATAGAGATAGATATGGATAGATAGATATACAGACTCAGTTGTTAATGGATGACCCACGAAAAATACAAACATAATACAAAACGAATAGGTAAATTAGAGTCTAAGGTACAATACAACTCCTGCAATTAGAAGAACCAAAAAGGATAACCATACAGTACAATATACTCTAGAAGGCAATACATAATGATATTTCTGTTATAGCTATAGCCAACCATTTTTATTAAAACAGCGTGTAGTGTACTCTAGCCAATCATTTTGAAACCCCCGTTGATCCTAGCACCTAATCACACGGCATTACATGAAGATCAAACCCTCCATTACCACACATTATAATGGTGTGTACACAGTCGCCCATCTGGGACACATTCTGTGTTGTGAGCTGAGACATTGGACCTGTTGTACAGGTTCATTATAAACCCGTTATATTGTGTATGAGTGGTCTGCACTGCTCCATAATACATATTGATCAGAGGTGCATATTGTTGCAATGAAAGGTTCTTATACATACAAAATACGCTATGAATGTTTGAAGTCACTAAAAATAGGTATAAACAATACGTATTCAGCACCTGGCTTCAGCCAGTATGCATTGTGCTCTATAGTTCACAACATGGCGAGGGGCAGGTGGTTTGTAGCAAGTCATTAGTCATCAGTTGAGAAACAATGTGGAATCAGTATGCATCGTTGGTCAATATTTGTTTTGAAATCTGCGTGGATGAGGAAATCTACACTTCCATGTTTCTCACATTTTTGTCGTCATTACATACATGAAGCGTGAGGATTGTGCCATCTATAAATAGCTAGAACCAGCCTACTATATAATACAAGCAACAGATTTCCATAAGCGACATCGCATTTACCTCACAGATCACAGATATCAGTGTGTTATGGGATAGGGTTATTTTACTACTTTAAAGAATGAAAAGAAAATTGCCTTAAGTTAAAATACATTTTTGCTGCCCTGACGTTGCATTGGATACCTTGAAGACGTATTTTGATCTCTGGGTTCATTCTTTCTTATCTGGCCAACACAATATGAGTCTTACACGTACAACTGTAGGCTTGTCCTTGTCCGACAGCCGAGTTTTGTGCTCATGGTATCAGCTAGCTGGGAAAGCAAAAGCCGTGGATCATTCTATTCGCCAGGGGTTTTTATAAATGGAACGGACTAAGTGCTTTCTATGTAAGACCCTGTAGCCTTTCAAAAGGACAAACCGTACTTTAGTACGTATACATCCGGAATCAGATGTTGACAGGAAATGCGTTATCCACAGTTACTGGATGGATCGTAGGAGAAGGGTATTGAGTTTCAGAACATGCTTCCATAGAACAATCGAACAGAATGCAACATTCTGGATCTTTTCCATGTATGTAGCGGAATCAGTCGTCGTAGATGATTTTGTACTTGCAACATGTTGTGTATATTCACTTCGTATTTTTTGGCTTTTGTATACAATTGGTTTCCGATAGTTCTATGTAGGTGAAAGGGTAAAACTAAATTACCCAAGGCTTGTCTGGACTGGAAATATAGATTGTCTCAGTACCTACTACGTAGTTCGGAAATGAAACGGAAATTAACCAATTTCCTGCAACAAAACTTGACACGGCGTAGTATACGCCGTGTACCCACAAAGCGAAACAAAGCAAACATTACCATAAAATAACTACTGTCTTAATTGAACTACATTAAAGATCTATGAAATCAAGGCACCGATCTTACATGATATACTGCGATTTCGCCGATGCATCAGTATTTAACCTACTTGTGAAGACGATACTGATTTATTTACATATTTACAATGGAATCAAACTTGATGTTGGTGTCATCTTACTTAGACTTAGGGGCCCCTGCGTCTCGTGACGCATGAGGCAGTCAAAGTAGCCCAGCTTCCTCTGTCAGCAGCCAGCCTCAAGGCTTCCTTCCAGCTTATGTTGACTGCCTGAACGTCCCTGCTGACTGACTGAAGGTCAGATAGTTGTTGGTGTCATCAGCCATCTGAAATTGAGAGGATCAAATTATCATGACATATGCACGGATATACCGGACATATGTGCTCAGTATGTCACTACACAATATCCATTCTTTAAGCCCTCATACTTATAGGTTCTGTTTCTCCACTCACATATGCCGTTACGTATGATTTAAGGCGTCCTTGCTTAAAGGTACGATTTCGTGAACTGCGTGTCAGAACGAACCGGTCCGGATGCCCAACAAGTGTTGTTCCGGGTAAAATAAAAGGCAATTATCTTGCTGGAGTATCCCGGCAAATGGCCCCCGGATGGACCTGCGAACACCACACACAGCCGTGAGGTGAGTCCGGATCTACATTAGGCCAATCGATGGCATTCATCATCTCCAAACGAGCAGCTGCATCTTGCCCGTTTCTCAGCAAATGTCGGCAATTAAACCTGGCCGATGGAATCTCGCCAGGCGCCGAGTTACTTTGTTATGAAAGAGATATGGTAGACTCACGTTCATGTGGTCAGAATCACAGTGCTGGATTCAGTTTTTGTTGATGTGTAAAGAACACTGGTTGTTATGAGAGAGATAGTGTAGACCCACCAAACACGTTACAGTGGTCACAGGGTTTGGTTCAGTTTTTGTTGATGTGTAAAAGAGTGATTGGCGCTGCTTTCCCCATGGGGAAAGAGGAGTGTATACATGAGGTATTCCACATTCAAAATAGACCATACTATTCATAGATTTCAGCACCAAGGACAGATACTGACAGTGCTCAGTTCCCCGCCCATTTTTGGCTGGGATTTTGAAACCAGCATGATTGTGAAATATATCTCTCACAAGTTTCATCCGAAGCTGCGTGCCTAGTACGCGTCTCTTCCTGTATGTTAACAGAGATTTCATTGCAAATGTAGAGGATTTTAGTCTTGAATCTTGAGTCTAAAGACCATTAGAGATAGGACAATGTCGCCGGAAGTTGTACTTCAAAGTGTAGCGTCAACTGACGAACAGGAAATCCAGGGCGGCGTCACAAAAAGCATTTATCCCATCTAAACTTTGATGCTGCTGCGTAGCACGGATAACAGCAGCCAAGGCCCAGCACACTCAAGCAAAATCATACTATTTCCCCAAAGCACCAGTTCACAAAGATGAAAGACTGCCAATAATGAAAAGCCTTATACCGCAATCCTGTTCAAAGAATGAAATTGTCAGTGGACCGCCATGTTTTATATTAAATGCATACCCATAAACAAGATGAAAGAACGTAGATGACATAAAGGATGACCTCTGTAACGTTATGTTTACTTCTTCTTTTTCTTTCACCGGGACAATGAAGTACATTTTATCGGAGCGTTTGAGGCGTGGTAACAAACCTATTCATTGCACACAATTTTCCCCGTCACACCAGATCAAACATATCATCTTTAGTGCACTCTTTCCACGTACTTTCAAATCTTGCAGAATCAAACATAAATCTTATTAATGTTGGTAACGCTGAAGTGGGGTATCGTGGGTTCAGGCACTCAGGCTTCCTGGCCAAATATATCTTTGTACATCGTTTTACAAAGTGGAGTGGATTACCACACTTATCTTCCGGATTTCCCTCTCTCGCCATATCAAAGCAAATACAGTATATAAGCAGCACACTTCATATACCCTTGAATTGTGGCACTAAAAAGGTCTAAAAAGGGGTAGGGAATTTTCCCGACCAGCCTCGTAACCCCTGCTTCTCCTATTGGGTCAGTTAGTTCTCACTACTTGTGAGGATGTTTCTGACTCAGGGAGAAGAGTTGCTGGTACAGTTACAGGCTAGCTCTATGCCTAGAAGTGGCCAATGGCCTTGCATTGAGCGACACCGTTAAAAAGAAGAAAAAAAACTGCGCCGTTGCAATACAGCTCGATGTCTACACTTATATTACCAGATACAAGAACACGGTGACATATCTTCATGGTTTTCTGGATTGGGCTTAATTTTCTCGACTTGTATGACACGCTTATTGATGAAATAGAATGTCAATCACACTTTTCACCATAGGTAGTAATGCATTGGGTGGTAGGTTAGCATATTTGCAGGCGGACAGTAGCAATTGCTACCCCCCGGTTTTACTTGCCTTTGTGCGAAATGCCATGGTTATAACGTACATTTCTTATTCTTTCTCTGTTGTTCTTGTGTTAGCACATGTAAACAATATAGAATTCGCTTGTCTTGGCTTCATTTCTTCCTCTGGTGCGAACTCCGATACTCCATATGCCTGAAGTGAAAACCCTGAAGACCTCACGTTGCACGTTGTAGCAAACCGATCATTAAGTGCGTTCAGTCTTTTGGTAGAAAGCTGTAAGGTAATCCCAAAGGCAGCGTCGTGTAAAGACAGCTTTTACAAAAGCTGTAGCATTGAAGACGACTTCAATATAACTTCTGTGCAGCCTGTTAAACATGAAAAGACGTAATTCCACTAATGCATTCGCACTGGGACGCGCGAGGTAAAAATAACGTGTTCGCGGCAGAACTCAGTGTACTTTAGCTTCTGCTGGGATCGAAGTTTTTTTTTCTTGAATACCAATCTTTCGTCACTCTCGCCAGCCGACAAAGAGGCGAATGACGCCAGAAAACGCTTTAAAGAATGCTGGAGACCTTGACTTACAAGGTTGTTTATATTCCACAAAAATGCCGTGAGTAATGCGCCGTAGCTATTATCTGTTATTATAT